AGGGGTAAATATATACGCTATAGAATACAAATTTTGTCATTTTTCACACAAAAGTCAGGGTTCATTTGACCCGCTAAATATTGACCGATCTTTATCAAAACCAAAGAAGGCCAAAGAATACGCATGTCTTATTCTTTGGCCCGATCCCCTTCTCCATGCAAAATTTCACGATGTTCGGGCCATTATTGCGGCCTCTGGAGCGACCAGAAAAACCGACAAAAATTTAGTATTTGGTCCATTTCATCCCCTAAATATTAACCGATCTTTCCCAATAACAATAGGGGTCTTCATTGGCCAGAACCCATCCTACATGCAAAATTTCGTGAGGATTGGTCCATAACTGTGGCCTGTATCGTGTTTACAAATTATAATGGACAGACGGACGGACGGACACACATGTCTAGATCGACTCAGCTAGTCGAGATATGACGATTGGTATACTTAAAGATGGGTCTAGGACCAATATTTCGCGGCGTTACAAACTTTTGGGGCTGCACAAAGCTATAATACCCTGACAACATAGTTGTGTAGGGTATAAAAACAATATTTTCCTCAATACCTTATCTTGTGTGATTTTAATAACATTTGATTTATCCTGGATATGTAGATATTTCTAAATAATTTTTTAGGTGGATACATGTCATTAATATTATGAAAAAAGTGATTTTTCTCGATTTTTGTAATTCTCAATTTTTGTAATATATTCATTTTCATACTTTACGAAGGAAGTCATATATCAACGTTTTTGGTCAATATAAAAAACGACGTAATTTTAAGATTTTTTTCTTATGCCCAAAATAAAAACCTCGATAACTATTGCTTGCATCAACAAAACATTTGATCGCGATCGGATTCGTAGTCAGGACATTTTTTTCTATATATGTACCAAAAATCATTGATGTACCACGAAAACAAAAAAGCCGATTTTTTGAAAATGGAATATTAAAAAATTGGCAATATTGCCCATATATACATATATATATAGGAGGAAAATATATATGGGAGCTATACCTTACTCTGATCCGAAACGTGACACATTTTACTCTAGACTCAATTCAATTCGCTGTGCCCAAGTTCAATAAGGTTCGTCCTTGTGTCAAATAAATGACCTGTACCAATTTACATCCAAATCGAATCATAAATTCGACCTGTAATTTGTTTAAAATTTTACATCAACAGACGACGGACATGCATAAGTCGACTCAGAAAGTGATTCTATGCATATTCTCTAAACCATGTGTCTATCTCGTTTTCTTTTGTCTTTTACAAATATAATACACAAAGACATAATATCCTGTTCTACAGTGTGGTGTAAAAAATAACCATATATCTGGTGGATATGTTAATAATCAAAATTGTCGCATTTGGGATTCTGAGAATCCTCAAGTAATTATAGATAGAAAAAGCAGAAAAGGCAACTTTTGGTGGGCTCTTTGGTCCAAAGGGGTGATTGGACCTTACTACATCGAAAACAACGCCAATTCGCAGTTTCGATAGTAAAAATGGGGCGGCACTGTTATGTCGATATGTATCGATATTCATTGCAATACCAAATATCATATGAGTATTAAGGGCTAAGCAGAATGCTCGCGTTGAGCCATCCGTCGCGTTATATGTTATCGAAAATACAACAACCACAAGAAAACGATAACACAAACGCATATCGTTTCCTTGTGGTTGTTGTATTTTCGATAACATCCCTGCAAGCAATTGGAAGTGAGTTTCTCACTCCCTCGCCCAATAAGTCACTTCCGCGTAACTTCTTTTCGGTTAAAAGGCGATAGTTTGTATAACTACAATAACAAAACTGTTCTTCTCTACTTTATATCGCCTTTGAGTTACTTCTGAGTGACGCCTAGGAAGACAAAAGAAGATTGATCAAATGCAAAAAAAAAAAACAATTTGCTCTCTTTCAAATTGTCTCTCATCTCCTTGTAAAAACAGTTAGATGAGAAAACATATAAATCAACTCAGTTAATATTAATTTTTCAAAGTGATCTGTATGTATCAATAGTGTGATATTTAAATAATTAAAAAAGTGTAATGAAAATACAAAAAAAAACAGAAATTTTTATTTATATTGTGATTGTTAAAAGTTTGTATTTTATAATGTTTTGAATGTGAGTGTGTGAAAAAAATAAATAAAATAATTTGAAAATTTTTTAATTTATTTTATCAATAAGTTGTTGCAGTGAATAAATAATGTAATATTGAAAATATTATGCCTACTAAAAGTGACGAGGAAGTTAAGTCGAAGTAACGTCAAGGCGATAGAAACAGTCGCGGAAGATAGTCGCATTCTTATCGCGGAAGAAACCTCCTTCGGGAAGAAATGAACCACGTCCGCGTCACTTCCAAGAAGTAACTTCTGCGTGTCATATGCGTAGTATCGCGGAAGTTACTTCTAGACGTTACGCAGAAGTTACTTCTTGGAAGTGACGCGGACGTGGTTCATTTCTTCCCGAAGGAGGTGACTTCCGCGATAAGAATGCGACTATCTTCCGCGACTGTTTCTATCGCCTTGACGTTACTTCGACTTAACTTCCGCGATAGTTTTTGCTTGCAGGGATATAACGCGACGAATGGCTCAACGCGAGCATTCTGCTTAGCCCTTTATCAATGTGTGTGCCATATTACAAAGCTAAATTTTAAATATTGCGATCTCTGTATCGTTATTTCAACAGATGGACATCGACATACAATTTTCATTCCGATTAATAATATGTATTTGGTCTCCGCTGAATATTTCGAGGTGTTGCAAACCAAATGACAAATTTTTTATGTATTAAGTTTTTAAAAATAAGTTTTCCGAAATCCATCATCGACGATACACATTTGTGTTCGGTATCCAATAGTGTATTAGGTTTATACCCTAATGTTAGTAGTGTTAATTATAATGCAAACCAATCTACCAAATCAAATACATCGCCCAGTTTCTGGTAGCTCAACACACAATCAGACAAAAACAAGGTAACAACAACAACAGCAATAACAATACACACAATCAAAACGTTCGCATTTAGAGTGCACTCAACAGAAATCAGTTATTGTGGTCTTCGTTGCTGTTCGGTGTCATTCATAAAAGTGCTTTTGGTTCGAACGGATACGGTTACTAAACTTAACTGCTCTGACTCTGACTACCTAACAGAGCCTAAGCAAAGTTATTACTTTTCGCTGCGGCCATCGTGTGTCTTCGTCTTTACTATTACTATTATTAGTGGTGTTTCGTTTACTACTACAAAAGCAGAAACAAATAAAAAAAAACAAAAAAGTAACCCTTCACCTCCCCCTCAATAGCAAAAAAAAAAAAACCAAAAAAAAAGGCCGACAAAAAATATATAGTGTAGCTGTTTGCCGGGGATCTGAAACAAAACAACGAACTAACCAACCAACCAACCTACAAACAAAACACAACACGAACACACAAAACCCCAAACAATAACAACAACATAAAAAGCACACACAAAAGCCTACCTAAGAAGATAACCGAAACCAAATGTTCAAACTATATATTGTGGCGCTGAACTAAACTTGTTGTTGCTTTTTGTTGTTGTTCGTGGCCTAAACGGACTGCCTGGCTGACTGACATATAGTCTACACTACTTTATAAAGAGTCTTCGTCGTTGTTGTTGTTGTTTTCTTTTCTTAGTTTGTTACCGTGTTCTTCTCGCATGCTGTTTGTCGGAATAGTTAGTTAGCTGAGTGGCTGTTCGTCTGTCTGGCTGGCTGACTGGTTGCTTGCCTGCCTGCCTGGATGTTGTATTGTTTGACAACAAAAACCAAAGTGGTACAACAAAAAGTTTCTTCCAAATCAAAAAAAAGCTAAACAACAACAAAAACTAAAGCAACAACAACATCTGGTGTGAGGAGGATTTGTGTGAGATTTTGTTGCGGCCTCTGCCACCGCTACCACCACCACGACGACTGTTGTAGATGTTGCCTGCCTGCCTGACTGATGTTGTTGTTGTCTCGAGGAGAGTTGGAGGTCTCTGTGGCAAACAAAACAAACAATAAAACATAAAAAAGACAACAATACCAGCAACAACACCAACAACAACAAAAGCTACGAAATTGCATGAAATGAACTTTAGACTCCTCCAATGTCTGTCTGAACACGATCGACCGAGAGACCAAACCAACCAAGTTCTTTATTACAATTTCGGAAACGAAAACATTAGTGTTTAATGGCAATTGCTAACCAATGGTTGGGAAAAAAATAACCCGAACCTCACAAACGAACCGATAGACTGGCAACAGACTTCTCTTGGCCATCAGTGAACTGCTAACCAACAATTGGCAAAGAAACTGTCAGACCATCAGACGAAAATAAGCAGAGCATTTTGGAGTTTTGATCGATTTGCTATCAGATCAGCTGAAAGAATATAATAACAATAACAGAAAATAACAAAAAATTAACAACAAATAAACGGAGCGGAACTGCATAAATCGAAATATAGAAAAAATTATTAATTCATCATCAAATAAAAATTCGAAACAAAAACAAAAGAAGTGATTTCGAAATGCAATAAATTTTGTAATTTTTTTTATTATTATTTAAATAAAATATTAACATTCTAAATTTAATTAGTATAATTAACAACAACAAATAATTGACACAAGTCAAAAACGTGTAGTGAAGTGTGAAAAAAGCTGCCGATCGGAAAAAAGGCTTTTACTTTTTTGTTGCTCGAAATTCAAAACAATTGCTTAAATTTCCAAGTTGTATTCAATGTCCGGCAATTGCTGCTGGATTTCGTGGTAAAGGAAAGTCCAAACATTATTATAATAATCACCACAAACAAAATCAACAGCAACAACAACAATAACAAAAGAAAAAAAACGAAAGGTGGTGCATCCATCTAAGCGCCGTTAAATACAAAACAAACAAACCAACCGACCAACAAACATTCAACACAATCCGCAAACAAAACCCCGATCGAACTAACCTCTCACTCTCGGTGACTTTCAATATTTCTTTTATTTCTGTCCGACTGCTGCTACCGTTTATTATAACTGTGTCTGCTGCCTGAGATTATTATGAGCAACACAATGACCGCTCATGAACCCATAAACTATCTGGACAGCATCCTTAACGAAGAGGAGAAACGTTGCGAGTACAGTCATCAATGGCGGAATTTCACCATATCACGTTCAGGTCGTTTCAAATCGAAAAACAAACATCGCAATGTTGTCGATGGCAAAATGTTTGATCGCAACACTGGCGGCTCATCATCGTCATCATCGACGACCATGTCGCAGTCGCCTTCATCCATTAACAGCCAAACACAATCGTCAGCAACATCCTCATATGATAAGGATAAAAAGGTAAGTTTTGGGAGGAAAAAATGGGTTATCAAAAAAAAAAAAAAAAAAAAATTAAATAAAAACGATAAGACTCTGTAATTATAATTATAATAACAGCAGAGTTCCCATATAACATTCTAATTAGGTAGAAAAATTGGTAACGGAAAAGTAGACCGGAAATGATCCATGACCCTTATATGAGGGTATGGACTTATATATATTGCAAATGTTCTGTGTAGAAGTTATTCACTCACAAATGTCACGAAATGCCACTTCGTAAAGTCATTTCAGCTGGAAAATTCATCTAACATCTGAAGCGACATTTATATGGGAGCTACATCCACAGAATGACCGATTATAATCCAATATATCAAATTAGAGCCAATTCGGGTCGTTGATACTATCCCTCGGATGCTGGATATTGAAAATCGGCAGAACGAAATTTTCGAAATTTTGTGCTGATATTTAAAAATTAGGGTTCATATTGGTTAATGAATCTTTCTACCAAAAGGTAGCAATTTTGATATACTTTCTGGGGTAACCTCCTATATTTCTGTTCCCCCATTATTCGGTATTTTTGAGTTTGTGTGGGCACATTTTTCAACCGAAATGACAGCAATTTTGTATTTAGGGTTATCATTAGTTAGACAATCTCTCTACCAAAAATGATCAATATTGGCCCAAGTTTCATCGTAGACCCCTTATAACGGCATGCACCATTATTGGGTATTTTGGGGATAATTTTTCATCCGAACTTGGTGTAGTTTAATATTTTGGGTTCTCATTGAATACCAAATCTTCAGTGAGCGGAGCAGTATAGTCGGACGGGGCCGACAATACGATACCCTACACAACTACCTCTACTGAAATATTTCCCGAATATTACTAATATTCAGTACAGCCCATCTAATTACTTGTCCAGATTCCCTTCACGGTGGGTTGAGTTGTGATGTTCGGCTTATATTCGACTAGAAAATTATAGGCGTTGTCCTTGACCATAATTGGAACTTCATGGAAAATTCCAAAGCGATCAGCGCTATATTTCCGCCCTCTAATGCGGTAATGGGTTACTAAATAATATCTGAAATAATATCTATATCCTTCAGGAGTGATACAAATACAAATTTTATAATTTTTCACACAAAAGTCAGAGCCCATTTGACCTGCTAAATAATGACAGACCTTTATCAAAGCAGGGTATAATTATAAATATTAGTCCAAATTTCATGGTATATCCCATATATTATTCGATAGTTGGCGAACTTTTGGCGAACGATTTATGCATGTCCGTCCGTCGCATTTATGATCCGAATTGGATGAAATTTGGCATAGGTCACTTATTTGACCCAAGGACGAACCCTATTGAAATTGGGAAAAATTGGTTCAGATTTAAATATAGCTCCCATATATATTTTTATTTTATTTAAGGTAAATGGTGCACCAAAGTCTCTATATATCTTTCGATTTGCTCTATGTTTGGCATTGCGTACTGAATAAAGTCTAGAATGATGTGTGTTAAGTTTCGTAACAATCGGTTCAGATTTAGATATAGCTCCCATTCCTCCGAGTCAATGTAAATAGTGTACCAAAGTCCCTATATATATTTCGATTTGCATAAAATTTGGCATATCGTACTAAAATGATGTGTGATAAGTTTAAGTCTAAAATGATGTGTGATAAGTTTCGGTTCAGATTTAGACATAGCTCCTATATATATCTTCTTCCGATTTTATGTAAATTGTGCACTAAAGATTTAAAGCTTGTCCGATTGCCACACAATTTTGTACAATGTATTGTAGTTAATATAAATTAATCTCTGGCAATCTCGTTGAAAACGGTTCAGATTTAGATATAGCTTCTCCTATTTTACACAAAATTTTGCACAACGTACCAAAGTTAGTATAACCTAGAAGTTAGCAGAATTTATATCTGTACCAAACTCCCCAGGTGGGTCCGTTTGGCACAAAATTTTGCACAACGTACTGAATATACTATAACATATCGTGTGGCTAGTTTTATTGAAATCGGTTCAGATTCAGATAAAGCTCATATACATAGTTTCGTCCGATTTTAAGTAAAAGGTGCACAAAAGACCCATAGTTAGGCCGTTTGCTACAAAATTTTGCACAACGTACTGAAATTAGTATCGCCTAACGTTTGCACAAAGTACTTAAGTTAGTATAACCTAGCATGTGGAGAGTTTTGTTGAAATCGGTTCAAATTTGGATAGAGCTACCATATATATCTTCTCCCGATTTTAAGTAAAGATGTACCAAGAACTCAAAATGTGGCCAATATGCACAAAACATGTTGAAATTAGTATAACCTAAAACTCCTTGTACATTAGAACTTTTTACCGGGGTTAACCTACTTTATGAGGATTTATTTGACATATATGCAAAGGAAATGACAATTGAAACCCACTGGGTTAACGAAATCCGGTTAAATGTAAACGTACTGTAACCTGTGATAAGTTTCCATGAAATCGGTTTAGATTTCGATATAGCTTTTATATACATATATTTACGATTTCGATTATAAGTAAATAGTGCAGCAAACTCCTAATGTTTATCAGATATTTATCTAAATAATCAACGTGTGTCCGATTGACATTTGCTTTAAATTGATTTGCATAATTTTGTCCCATAATTTTGTAAGAATCAACTCTATATCTGACGAAATGAAAAATTTAGTATGGTTTGCAGAATTACATGTTTATGGATACAATTTCATTTTACTGGTCCTTCAAAAATGCGACGTTAGGATTCATCTGTTGAATATACCCAAAGTGGTGAAGGGTATCATGTAGTCGGCCGAAATATTTTTTAAATAAATCCTCGCGATGATTTAGACTCCAGAAGTAATTTTTAAAAAAAGGTATGCCTTGATGTAGACTCTAATTTTTTTTAAGAATTCACGCCTTGTTTTAGACTTTAAAAATAATTTTTAAAAAGTTCAAGTCTCCAGTTATGTCATAAAAAATGTTCAATTCCTAATGGTGTGGAAGTTTTGAAATTGCCCAACCTTACAAATCTAAGAAACTTGATAAATGCTAAACAAAAGCCACTTCGATTAAAACCTTCAGAACGGCAAAAATTGGGCGGGACAGTTATGTGAGGGCTACACTAAAACGTGGACGAATATATTTTCATTTCCAGCACAAATCATCTTAGGAGTGTTAGCAATGTGGTTTCAAAAGACGAACGTGTCTAAAAATTTTACTCGGATCAAGAATATACAATATATTGTCTCCTATAATTATTTCGTGGCGTTACAAATGGAATAATAGCACCACTCGGTGGAGGATATATAAAAAATATAAACTTTTCTCTTTATCTAAATTAAAATGGCAACACCTTTGGACATAATTATTATTTTTTATTTTTAGTCAAATAGATCATTGTTCAATTTTCGAATTTCATCATTAATTTATATATGATCTACATTCAAATTATATATGCACAACAATAACTAATTATTTAAAACAAATCAATTTTTCATATCTAGTTTGATCAAGTTTAGTTTTTGATTTTTTCGGCATTCGCAATTTTTGATTACGTTCGGTATACATACATATGTATGTACATATATACATATGAACATCTGTAGATAAAACTAACCCATATCACAACTTTAGTGTGCGTTTATTTTTTGAATAAAAATAAATATAGTAGCGATCAGTTATATAAGGACACTATAATTCGACCACATACCACGGCCTATAAATATGTGTGGATTTTTTTAAAATATTTTTTCGTGGCCTATAAATAGATGTGCTTTTTTTAAATATTATTTCATGGCCACACCATGGTATAGGGTACCACACTATGGTATAGGGTATTATGTCTTTGTGCATATGTTTGTAACAGACAAAAGGAATCGAGATAGACTCACGGTTCCTTTTGAGAATATGCATAGCATCACTTTCTGAGTCGATTTATGCATGTCCGTCTGTCCTTCTATCCGTCTATCCATGTTAAATTGTAAACAAAGTACAGGTCGCATTTATGGTCCGAATTGTATGAAATTTGGCACATGTCACTTATTTGACCCTACTGAAATTGGGGAAAATTGGTTCAGATTAAGATATAGCTCCCATATATATTTTCGTCCGATTTTATGTAAATGGTGCACCAAAGTCCCTATATATCTTTCGATTTGCACGAAATTTGGCATAGCTTACGGTATTAAGTCTGAAACGATGTGTGTTAAATTTCTTGAAAATTGGTTCAGATTTAGATATAGCTCCCACATACATTTTCGTACGATTTTATGTAATGTCCCTATATATCTTTCGATTTGCACGAAATTTGGCATAGCGTACTGAATTCAGTGCAGAATGTTATGTGTTAAGTTTCGTGAAAATCGGTTCAGATTTAGATATAGCTCCCATATATAGTTTCGTCCGATATTATGCGAATGGTGCACCAAAGTCCCTATATATCTTTCGATTTGCACGAAATTTGGCATAGGGCTCTGAATTAAATGCAGAATGATGTGTACTAAGTTTCATGAAAAGTGGTTCAGATTTGGATATAGCTCCCGTATATAGTTTTGTCCGATTTTATGTAAATGGTGCACAAAGTCCCTATATATATTTCGATTTGCACGAAATTTAGCATAGCGTACTGAATTCAGTGCAGAATGATGTGTGTTATGTTTCGTGAAAATTGGTTTAGATTTGTTCCCATATATATTTTCGTCCGATTTAATAGAAATTATGCACCAAAGTCTCTATATATCTATCGATTTGCACGGAATTTGGCATAGGGTTCTGAATTAAGTGTAGAATGATGTGTGCTAAGTTTCGTGAAAATCGGTTCAGATTTAGATATAGCTCTCGTATATAGTTTTGTCCGATTTTATGTAAATGGTGCACCAAAGTCCCTATATATCTTTCGATCTGCACAAAATTGAGCATAGGAATTGAGTGTAGAATGATGTGTGCTGAGTTTCGTGAAAATCGGTTCAGATAAAGCTCCCATATATACTTTCATCGGATTTAAGGTAAATGGTGTGCC